CTGTTCCCAGATTTCCGCTCTATATACTATTTTCCTTTGACTTTAAGACAGCTAAGATTCAGTGGAATACACTATAAACAGTCTGCCTGTTTGCTGTTCGACAAAATAATAAGGTTTCTTGTGTTTTTTGTTCAACAAAAGATCTCCAAAAGATGCCGCTTGAAAAACTGAGCTTTTTGCATATGTTATTTCTCGAGAACGAAGAGCGCCCCAGCCAAAAAAAATCCAGAGCAATGTTTCTCAGGTACAACGAAGCCTACATGCCAAAATTCAGCTATTTTTGAACACTTTCAAAATGGCCAAAAAATCTAGGGGACGTTCTTGCACGCGGCCTTTCAATTGTGAAAATTATCAATGAAAATATCAAATGATCCTTTTAGCCTGTCTACAGTTATGTGAGTTTTCATGTTTTATGTTTTGTTTATAAATGTTCAACAATAGTTACTAGACCGATTCTATTTGATGATTTTATGTTTGTTGTATACTTACAGGAATTTTGAATAAGTTATTCAATCTATAAATAGTATTCGTTATATGACGGACTGGTATTGTTTTCAAAATTATCTCAGGCTATAATTGATATACTTACTTGTTCATGCAAATTGTTCCAGTATTATGTTAATGGTCGAAAACTAAAAGATCAGTGTTTAGCATTTGCTTGTATTTTAAATCTTTGTTCCAGTGCATCCATTGACTAAATTGAAAGTGAAACTGTCTGCCTTTCACCTTTCACACAGGGCTGTCATTAAGTTTTGAGTCAACTGTAGCCTTGTTCTTCACACCCATAACAAACTTGTTACTTTGTGGGTTAATTGTAAGAACAAAAGGCAAGTTCACCTGAAACATCAAGGGCCTGTCAAACATACTTAACCATAGCAGTTGTTAATATGGGTTATTGCCGTTAATGATAGCCCTGTCATAGCCTACTGAGGGTGGCATTGTTGCCACTGTCCCCAGCTTAGCTCTATATATTAAGTGTTTTTATGATGGGTGGTAAAGTAAACTTGATAAAATTAATTCTAAATTGAAGTTTGTTGCTCTTTATCAGTGGAAAGTATAAACTCCTGATCATTAACTGCATTCAGAATACAATTAACCCAGTTTGTTGTTCAGTTGTTAAGTTTTGAAGGCTTGTACTTTGTATTCATTTGATAGTGTCAAGACTGAAGTCAGCTTAGCAGTCCACAGAGTAGGACCAACACTGCTGTTGGATTATCTTGATGTCCCAGCACTCATTTCCTATGCATCTCAGGTTGGTGAACTTAGCTTGCTATTTTGCGTAATTTTATTATTAATAATTAAGGTTACTGTCAACAATATCTGGACAAAGTTTTCAAAATTTCAGTTGTTTAGTCCTTATTTCTATAGGTAAAGCATAGTATCATTTTCGGGAAAAAAATTACCTTCAAAGTCAAGAGAACATGTCACACACTAAAGACTGTTTTGAGGTAACTGATATTGAGACTTACATAGAAGATGTCAAAATTCTATAGTCTGTGATACATGTAGGTGTAGAGTGGCCTGTTGACCTTTTCTGTACTTGCAGTTTTTATCTTGGATTACTATACACAGTAAATGTGCATCTCTGTCAAGGAAATGACCTCAAACAATGCAACATGTGACTATAATCAAACTCCTTTCCTTTTTTTGAGCTGAGCTTTAACACCTATCAGCAGCCACTCAGCTGTGTTCAATTGGAAATCTGTGAATCTGGTGGGTTCTCAGATCTCTTTCTATTCGCTGATAGACAAGTATCACTTGCACACTGCTCTTGAAATTGAAAATTGTTTAAATTTTAGACTTAAAACAAGCCAGATTGTAGGTTTTGTGCTTAATCCTTAGAGTGTCTACTAAAAACAATTAGTATCACCCAACTAGTGGACTAATGCAAATATTGCATTTTGATTGGCTACGCTACTAGAGGACTATTAGTAATAGTCATAGAGTAGCGAAATTAGCAGTTCTGAAAACCTACCAAAACAATGGCGGCCGCTTCGCGTTTTGTGGAAATTTCAAAGGAGTTTTTAAATAATTTACTGGATAATTCCATCCCAGAAAAGACCAAAAGGGCAACAAAGTACGGGATGAAGATCTTTAATGGTAAGTTTTGTTGTTGTTTTTTTATGAGACAAAACTACGAACTTTTCTATAAATTCAAAACAAATCAAGCTTTACTTTCCTCAGTAAGTCTTTTCAACATATTGTCACTTTTTTATTACAGAATGGTTTGCAAGCCAATCAAAATTTAAAACAGTTATACAAGAGATGGAGAAAGAAGAGTTAAATGATTGTCTCGCAATGTTTTATGCTGCTGTCAGGCGAGAGGACCGCACTGAGTTCAAAGTTTCGTCTCTTAAAGCGATCTGGGCAGCCATTGACCGATACTTAAGGTAGCCTCCGAACAACAAGCCATGGTCAATAGTCAGTGACTCAGCCTTCCAAAAATCTAACAAGGTCCTCAATGCTGTCTGTAAACAGATGATGCAAGAGGGGAAAGTTGGGCCAACAATTCAAAAAAATCTTATCACGAGCGAACAACTGCAACAGCTGTATGAAACAGGGCAACTCGGCGAATGGGATACCTTGGATCCGTCTCAACCCCTCCACACTGCATGGTTTTACATATCCTTTTATTTCGGTAAAAGAGGACGTGAAAATCTGAGAAAGCTCACCTCAGACATGTTGGTTCTTTGGAGTACACCTCAAGGGCAACGTTACTATGAGTTTCACAGCCCCTTTGCTTCCAAAAATCATCAAGGTGGTTTGACATATAACCCCGACGAACCCAACAGTAAAATGTTTGAGGTTCCTAATTCAAAGCGCTGCCCGGTGAAAACCCTTGAAAGCTTCCTTAAACACCTGAATCCCAACCTGCAGGCTTTGTTTCAATGACCAAGAGAAGTGTCAACAAAGTTCCAGCCACAAAAAGATGAAGTGTGGTACTGCAATTCCCCCGTCGGCAAAAGCACACTCGAAAACATNGGCTATGGGTCTAATTGTTAATTAGACTACTAGCCGTCATTTTCTATGAGTCATAGTCACTTTGGCTATGCCTTGTTGACTATGCGCTCATAGAAAACTCGAGCTCATGGTTGGATAAAAGGCTGAGACTTTACTAATTCTTGTTATACAAAAAGTCTCCAAATTTTGTAACATGAATGTAAAGATGAGAAACATGCTAAATGCTCAGTGATGTGAACTTCTTGGAAAGAATATTTGTTAGTTCTCTTAACACTATAGCAGTGCTACAGCTGATGTGTATCCTTTTTGCAGGAAAGAGGTGACAGTATTCATCCCAGGTGGCTTTATGATTTTTACTGTGAACAAACTGGAATTCCAAAGGTACTTATCAGTGATGTAACCTGCAAAAGACACTAGAGAGCAACTGGAAATAATCTGTGATATTATATAATGGAAGTTCCTCTTGGCTATTCTTTCGGGTGGCTGCTTGCTTTCAGAAAGTATCAATGAAAATTATTAAACCATGGGTCACAAATTACAGCTACTGACATTTTAGTACCCAGTTACATATGTACTTACTGGTTTGTTATAATGTTAATTTGTAGGACGCAAGCTTTGAACGTAAAAAGAAGAAAAAGGATCAGGCAAGACTAAGACACATCTTTTCAAAATTCCTGCATTACAGGTATATTGAGTGGGAACACAAATATTACAAAGTTATTATTTAGATCTTTATTAACTGAGCAAGAGATCTGTATGGGAGAATCTTGACCAAGGTCATGAGTACGGACCGAATGCTGTGAGCTCTGTACACACAGCAGAGGTCCAGATTCTCCCATAAAGACTGACTATAAAAGCTCAGTTAATGAGATATTTATTACATGCAAACAAGAAAAATTTAATTTGTTTAATGTGACTGGTTTGTACTAGCTGACATTTTCCTTAGCTTCCAAACGGCAATGACGTGAACTTAACTTTGCCAAAGTTTTCTCTTCTTCTTTGCTTTTTTTTTTTGCTCACCAGGCTTTTTGGAACTTCCATAGAAGAAATTAGTCAATATTTTTGTATTTTGGTTTGCAACTTTTCCACCACAAAATGTAACCAAACTAGATGCTAGATCTAGATGGAAAAATCTAGACTGCGGTCAATTTTGAGTTCAGCCAATCAAATTCTGTACTTCCGAGGCCTTGTGAGACACAGTCATATAATAATGCTTGTTTTAACCTAAAAAGTAAATTCGTTCACAAAGAAGTTAACTTTGTTTCAGTATCAAAGTTATTGAAAATAAAAATAATAGTTGACATATTTACAGTCAAACTCACAAAACCATGAACACCTAAAACATGTCTGGAATGCATATTGTGTTATAACCAATCATGAGTGTGATCTTTAACCACAGAAAGCACAGAAACAGATGAGTTTCCATCAGTCATGGAACAAATTTGTTTCATTTCGAAAGGTCTCAAAATAAATCCTCTATTTCAGTTATATATACAAGAAATTAGATAATTGCTGTTTCAGGCTATTTAAACACTAGCAAAGAGGGTTTGGGATATTATTAACATGAAAAAAACTACCTTCACAAACCAATGTGCTGGGTCAATGTGACTGGTGGTCATTGAATCACTCAAGCACGAATGATCCAAATCAGTGCTTTCATTATTTTGTTTCATTATTGATAATGCCAAAAAGTGATGAGTGACATTGATGAAAATGGTCTTCCATTATATTTTGTAATATATGAATCAATTGCAAATTTATTTGGGAAGGAACAGCAGAAAATTGAGGTGTTTGCTGTTTGCCATAACTAATTCCAAAATTAGCAGACATTTGCATTTATCATCGTCAATCTTTCCAGGATGTTTAGATCACCGAATCACTGGGCCCAAGGGATTGTAATTATTTGCTAAAATAATTTAGTTTCTAGTTTAACCAAAGGTGATACCAAGGGTAGCAAAACCGCCAAAATTGTAAATTTTTATTCATCCCTAATTATACCCGTGTCAAATAAACTGTTGCTTCGCTTGAGTAACTGTACACATTGGTGGGATTCTTGTTTTCCAAAATCCCTCAAACTTAGTAGTGGATGTGGTTTTCGATACAAAAGGATAGCAATTAGTAGACCTTCAGTACTATATAAGGACAGAGGGTGTATCTTGGGACATAGCGAAAACCAAAACTATATTTATAGTTCTGTGACTAATGCAATGCATCCATTCTCTGTGGTTTCTGTGGTTGAAGATCTCGCTCATGATTGGTTATAACACAATAAACATTCCAGATAAATTTGAGGTGTTCATAGTTTTGTGAGTTTGGCGGTAAGGCCTTTGGCATTACCTTTGGACTTCTTCGATCATGAATGGAAATCTCAGAATCAGTATGCCATATACATGTAATAATATTCAAGAACTTTAATGAGAGGGTGAGCAGTACTGGAAGACTACTAGCACCCCATCATTCAGTAGTTAGTGAATCTTTACCTTCAATTGAAGGCAAAGATGTTGCAGGGCTGCCATTAAGCTTATTGAGGGGGGGGGGCTCAGGTTATTATGGGTGAACCTGCGAGAGTCTTCAGTTTGCGGTCATCCTTACTACAGTTGGATTTAATAGCCAGTTGCTTGCTTCTAATTGTAGCCCTGAGTTAAATCTTGGATCAGTAATGCAGATAGTGTTTTTTTTTGTGCCTTATTGTATTTATTTGTTGTATTATGTCTACCATTTAGCATTCAGAATCTCAATAAAGATGCTTCGACAGACCCAAGCTTTAAAACTTACACTGAACCCACAGCCACACCCTTTGGGCACACAGTGGATAGTGACACCTATAGTGAGGGTGAAGGCTCAACATGCGACTATGCAGTTCCAGGCACAGCGGTGGACTCTGCTAAGGAGGGCACTGATTTGTTTGCACCACTAATCTTAGAGGACGATTCACAAGAAGAGCCTGTTCTGCCTCAGGTAGTCATAACTGGTTTCACAAGAAAATTAAGAAGTTGAACACCAGGCTCGAGTTGTTAAAAGGATGGATAATGCTATCCTCTGGATAAAATTGACAATCACTATCCTGACAATCACTATTGTTGTGCCTACACCTATCCACTGAACAGTGATTTATCCACTGGGTAGCTTTGTCCAACTTTGTGAACAACTAGTCCCAGGTGCTTAACTTTAAACTGCTCTTTTTGCCCAAAAAAGGAAAATGGCAAGTGTGAGTTTCATTCAAGCACCTGCAGTTTGCATGATTTACATTCTGAGAATTTCCATCTGCCTTTGAATGATGTACCTGTTATCTCTTGATATCACACAAGTGAATAGTATAAAAGAATAGATATTTATTTTATGCTAAAAAGAGCAAATTAAAAAATTTGGAAAATAAGTTGGTGATTGATCATTTTGGCCCTGGAAAAATATAATGTCTGAAGTTGAAAATTCAATTCACAATAATTGTGATTGCCTCTTAACTTAATTTCAGCCCAGTATTAACATTCAAATGAATTCAAATGCTGCAAAAATATGTTCACTTCATGGCTGACTTAACCAATCAGATCGAATGATTCAGTTCATGTCAGCTGCATGTAGATCACAATGTGTAAAACTATTCATTACTTGTTCATTACTAATTGTTGTTTTTTTCATGTGTACAGTTCGAGCTGCACACCCATCACTGTGTATGAGTGTGCTAATTAATTTATTATAAAAATTGGAGTTTTTACAAAGGTGTAATAGTTCAATTTTATTTTCTTCAGCTTCAACAGGACTCTTCCTTTCAGCACAATGTTCTGTGGCAGTTTGAAGACATTCAAATGCTTGTTGGATCCAACCTTCCAATATTTGGAGGAGGCAAATACCCTGCTGTCAGCCTAAGGCTCAGGTAAATTTACTTGTCAGTGATGTCTTGTGCAATGAACTATCATGAATGCCTAATTAGCTTTATAGTGGAATACCAACTATTTGAACCCTGGATTCATTCGAACCTGCCACTTATTTGAAGAATTTTTTTGCTCCCTTTACATAAAAGTTAAGAGACACAGATCTACCCTTTTTTTTCAAACTGCATCTTTTTTCAAGCCAATTTCTGTTCTGTTAGCCAGGTAATTCACAAAATTGGAACTGCTCATTACTTCTCTCTTATAAGATCTGCTTCTAATACAAGATTTTCTTTAACATTTCTGGCAGGAAGGCAACTGGTTTCAGGCAGGCAAAACATTTTGAACTAAACTTCTTTTTAAAAGAACCTTCCTGTAGATTTCTAAACCAGGCGGGCAAAATCATCCTCACAGCTGGTCAATTTGCCCAGTGCCTGGCCCCTCTGTGTAAAATTTTCTAATGAAGCTGTCCTCCCCCCATTCCCAGATGCTTTTAAAGTCATCTGCCCACCATGTGCATGTGATATAACTATTGTTATTTCTAGATACAGGATTGAACTGGTGGAAAGAAGGTAAAATCAATGGCTTACTGCTATACTCAGTGCTGATTATGTTGGTCATTTTTTAGGGAGTGTGGCAATCCTATCAATGTACTGACAGGGTTAGATTACTGGCTCGATAACTTGATGTGTAATGTTCCAGAGGTCGCTATGTGTTATCACTTGGATGGGATTGTGCAAGTAAGTTGTCTTAGAAAAATATGGTTTCTAATGGGGAGAGCCAGGCAGGACAATATTTGGCTCAGGAGCTGCAACATGACTGCAGAAAAATTACAGCATCTCACAGTATTGTTTGCTATAGGATGCCATCAGCAGGGCTGCATGGTGGTGTGATGAAAATTGGTCAATTACCACATTGGTGTCTCTATGTCAAGCCAAGTGGTCCAGAGTGCCGGAGCTTATTCCAGTTTCCATGGCATGAAATGCCTAGGAGTATTTCTATCCCCCCCACCCCCCTCCCCCGCTGGATGGGGTGCTAATCCATCGAGAGAGGCTTTGCGAGCGTAGTGTCGTGCCCAAGAACACAACGCAATGAGACCAGGGACCCGTTTCTTGAAGGTCCGAAAAGTTTTTGCACCCGGAAAGTTGTAGCAAAATCTCAAACCTGATGATTACAGCGCCATTTTATTCACATATTCGTAATATCAAATGAATTCCTTTTTAAACAAGAAGTTTCATGCGTGTACACCTCTCAGATTTTAGATACAGAGAAATTAAAAATGGCTTTACGGACCCGAAAAGTGTCCGGGGCCGTCTTTCGAGAAATGGGCCCCAGACCACTTGATCCAGTTTCCAGGGTGCTAAGCATTAGGTCACCGTGCCTCCCACACATTGGTATCTGGTGGAAAGTAAAATCTACACTCAGTGCAAAGTGGCCCATGCCACCAGTGAGAGCCTATCCTGGTTTCTGTATTGTTTATGACCCCTGAGTAGGATACTTGTCCGTCGCAGCTTACTCTCTAGCATTTTGTTTGCTGGTAGATTCTGGTAATTACGCACCCCAACAAAGAGAGGAACTATAATTGGTGTTTGGTACTATTTCCTATTTGTCAAGTGTCACAAGTTGTTTCAGATCAGCATTATTTTCTCACATTAGAGTAATTTAATACGTTGGTTTTTTCATTCTGCAGTATTATGATCTTTACAAAACAGAGGAATTGCCAAACTTGGAAGGAAGCAATTTCTCTCCAAAGGTTAAGTCATTTGCTATCAACTTTCTACAATGTAAAATGTCGTTAACGTCTGTAAGTTCCACATACAATGGTAGCACGCTCTGGGACTACCTAGTTAATATGACGACTTTGTTAATACGACCTTCATAAAAGATCAGTCAAAATGGTCGTCAGAGCACTGAGAGGATGTTGTAATGTTTGTTTTAAAGTATTGATGTTCATCCATCACTGATAATCAATCATTGTCTTAACTGTGGGTTGTTGTGGTCTTTCTACTATAGGTCATCAAGGATGTAGCGCAAAATATCTTGTCTTTCATGAAGTCAAATTGTACTCGTGAAGGTCACACCTACTGGCTGTTTAAAGGTATGGTACCTTTTTAATGTTTGTTTCATTTGGCGGATCAAGTTCAGGTTTCGGCCAGTCTTTAGTATAAGAAGTAGCATTTGCCTTCCTGAGGTATAGCCTAAAAAGACGATTGGCGAGCAGAGCAACCCCAGCCCGACCTGGTATGTGTTCCCAGGCTACGCGAGGGAAGTTTCCAACTAGGACTTTTTCCAATCAAAACATTATTTATAACCCCAGCATGACGTCATGAGGATGGCGTCATGTTGCTTAGCAACTTCAGTTCAAAAACTTACAGGATTAGTCAGTTCTTGTTTACCTTTTTTGTCATTTTGGGTGACCATCCGCTTAATTTATTTTTATTTTTATTAATTATGCAAGTTAAAGAGCAAAAACATGTATATGTCTTATGTTGTTACTGTTGTTGTTGTTGTTGTTATGTCAAGGCTGATCAGCTTCAAACTATTCCACGTAAAAGTTCTGTTGAAAAATGGATAGGCTGCACTCAAATCATGGGTTTAAAGTAGTTACATAAACGCATGTTTTCCTTGTTTACTTCCTTGAAAACGTGAAGTTTGATTTAAGTTTGGATGTAATACTTGAAAGAGTTATATTAAATTGAGTACTCATTACTCTCTACAGCAACTGACAGTGACGTCATAAAGTTGTATGATTTGACCTCAATCTGTCAACAGGTATGGCTTGTACTGTATGAGGACTTTAGGCCCGGTCCACCCTACGCCGGGGAAATTTGAAAACGCAGCTTTATTGGTACGCTTAGGTCTACCGTCCACACTAATCCGGCACGAAAACAGAGCATTTCGATAACGCTCTTCAAACCGCAGGAATTTGAAAACGCCGACTGTGCGTTTTAGTGTGGACGGAAAACAATTTGAAAAAAGAGCTTTTCGAAAACGATGACATCACGATAATCACGTGATTTCCGTGCCCGAGTTTTCTTCAAACACAAATCCAAAATGGCCGGTGATTGTTGCATTTTCAAATTTCTCTGGCTTAGTTTGGACGGGGCCTTAGATGGCGGAGCTATATGAATTTTATCTTTGATTGGCAAAGTAACTGAAGAGATAAAGAAGAATACCATTTTTGGCACAAGGTTACTACTTAACTTTAATGGTATTATCAAACCTTTCTCTTTATCATGTTGTATCAACACGTATCTATAAACTACATGTAAGTGGAAATAAAGCACACCTACAAAGAGTTTATCACCTAAGTTTTTATCTTACTGACTATGGCAAACAAAAATTCCTAATTCCAGTCTCATTCAATTAAAAAAAGTAACAAGCTTCTTACTTGAATTGGTGATGACATGTAGGATTTCTATGTTTTTAACTGTTTGGAGTAGTTGATTCACCTTGTGTAGCCGTCCAGGTACTTAGTCCTGACATCAAGTCTGTATGTTGTCAGTTACGTTTTCGTCATGTATCTGTTTACTTTCATATTGCGTAGAGGACGGACGACAAGACAGAGAACTTATTTACCGTGCCTGTGGCTATGCTGTTTTACCGGTCTGTATATCGCATTTTAACATTAAACTATTTCAGCTATTCAGCGTTAAAAGTATAGCACTAAAATTAAGTCAGAGTGCTGCCGGAGAACGCTACTGACTATTCCTGAAAAGTGTCAAGCTATCAAGCTGCAATTTCTTTACAAGTGTTTTAAATACTTAGGTTCCTCGGCAAAGAAAATTACTGGCCCTTGCTCGTTAAATATGGTGTTTCAGATATCGCTACGTTTTAGAATCGCATCAGTTATAACCTGGCAAATGGGCCCGAGGGGGGGATGGTAGGGGGAGGGTAAAATGCCTAGTTCTTCATGAGTCTCTACGTAGCTTAGTCACGAGTGTGCCCGACTGGTATCTGAGAAGTCATGGGTTCGAGTCCTGTCATGTACTCGGATTTTTTTCTTTGTCGCACGCTCAAGAAATGATGAATATTGCATCTTTTGCCCATGATGATGTTATGTGCAAGTTCATGTTGTTGTTGGCACTTTCTCGTTCTTGCCCTGCCCTGAAGGGGCTCCTCCTTATCTTCAAAAAGCAATTAACCTAGCAATTGAAAAGCAATTCATTTAATTATTGTTTTACTGTTTTTTTGGTTTTTGTTTTTCTTTAATTTATCAATTGATACGTCCCCACCAGGGTTGCAAAGAACATGATGAACCAGTCACCACTGAGAGTGGGGTAAGTCACTAAGTTACTCTGTTAGTTCCATTGCGGCGTTACTGTGTTGACGTACCGGGAGGGTGTTAGTTAACATTTGGCCTGGACACTCACAGGTGAAAAAAACCTGTCTTAGGGACATTTGATATCCAAATTTATAATCCTTTAGTTGGTTTGGTCTTGCTACAACACTTATCAGTAATTCTGACACGTGAAAAATTTATTCAAACACTTTTGCAAACATGTTTCTTTTCAATTTTGTTACTTCTTTGTTGTTGCTTTCTTTACTTTGGTAAACTTTTACTTTTATGCATTACAATATGACTTAATTTATGGTGACATAGCCTCTTTTAAGAACTTGTTTAAAATGAGGTAAAATATCAGAAAAGCGTGAAACAGATTTTAAGAAATGGTGTTTGTGGTAGACAAAGTTGGTAACATCTGCGTTTGAGCCGAGTGGCCCATCAAGCCGGCGCTTGTCTCCCGTTATCGATCAGGAATATTTCTAATCTCCCCTGGATGGGATGCTAGTCCATCGGCGTAGGGTTACCCCTGAGCATCAAATTCGCCGGTACCCTGGGTGGAGTGAGACATTGTTTGTCTTGCCCAAGAACAGAACACAAAGACACTAGCCAGGGCGCCATCTCGGACCGCTCGATCTGGAGACTAGCGGACCAACCATGAAGCCAGCACGCCTCCTAAAGTGGACAAAGTGGACTGAGGTTTCAGTGTTTAGTGAAAAGCGTCATAGTTTGTTTGACTAAGAAATAAAGAAATGAAAATCTCTACTTTAGGCTTTCGTTTAAAGTGGTACTATGATCAAATTTTCCCCCCTTGATTTTTTAGGTGTATCACATAGAATTCCATGAAAGAATAAAAACGCCGTTTACGGTTTGCAAATGTCTGCATTAGTTCCGGAGATATTTAAGTTTCAAAAATGTGTAAAATATGCAAATGAGATGACTGATAATGTCATGCACTCAACCCAAGTTTATATCAAGTATATAAATAGAGCTATCTTGGTCAATTTGCAGCGCAGACCATTGAAACTTGGTAGGCTGATAGTTCTACAGGATACACACCTACGGCTATATAAAATTCTGTTTCCATGGCAACTCACTCTTTTCCAGTCACCACCCACTTGATTTCAATATGTTAGTGATTTTTACCTCGCAAAACATTAAACGAGGCCGCAAACTTGAGCTAACATATTTATATGCTTGCTGGATCATGCATATGAGGTACAAGTTGTAAATATCAAAATGGAACACCAAAGGTGGCCAGAAAGGCCTTTAATATTGGGGAGGTCTGGAACCCAGTATGTTGCCATGGTAACCAAACTGTTAAGCTCATATTGTGGAGCACATTTAGTAGAATCTTACTGCAAAGAATCAAACATTTCTGATACAAATTGGCTGAGATATCTTTTTTCATCATATTTGATCGAAATTTGGTTGAGTGTATGACGTCATCACTGGGCTAATTTACATATTTTAAAAACTTGAATATTTCTGGAGTGAAAAGAGATATTTGAATGTAGTAAACAGCATTTTTCTTCTCACAAAGGCTACCTTGTTTTATGTTTTAAAATGGCTGCGATAGGATAGATGCGATTTTCGTCCCAGTACCACTAAAGTTAATTTTCTTGCTTTGTATTTCAGGGAACAAGGGACAGCCCGTCAGTTACTCAATAACTGCCTCCTACTTCTTGACAATGAGAAATTCCCAGAGGTAATCCTCTTTACCATCCTCGTTGTCTTTGTTCTTAGAAACGATCTGAAGTTGAAACTTAAAAATGATAAACCTTGCATAGTAGAGTGAGCATTGGGTTGTCATCATACAAACTCTCCCCCTTTTCACTTTTGTTCGTCCACTTGCTGTACATTCAGTTCTTTCTAACGGACATCTTTATAAAGAGGACATGAAGCAGGAGGCTCGTCGTCAATATTTCTGAAAAAATTCCGAGAATTTCTGGCGGAGAGCAAATGGAACAATAATTTTCTGGAAAATCCGTGGGAAGCCTTTTTGTGGACTGCCTCCAGAAGTACCCCTCCTTCCGTTCGGGTCGGAACGTCGAATTTCTTTACCATTTCCTCAATTTAGCAGTTCCATCCCGATAGAACGTTAACGGGAAACCGAATTGTAAATGGTAAGCGCCACCTCTTTCGGTTAGTTTGCTGATTTTGAAAAAACCCTTGCCATTATTCAACGGTCATTCCAACCGGTTCTTTCCGGCAAATAGTCATCAGCTCACTCTCCGTTAAATCAAGACGTCAGGGCCTGGTTTCCAGCATGTCGCTGACCAGTTGTGGGAGTCATGATAGTTCTGTGGTGGGTCAGAGACTTCTATGTTCGCGCGTTCGACTCTCTTCCTAACCGAACTGAGACTTCTGAAGCTGCACCCGAGAATTCATTCTGGTGACGTAACTCTATAGAGATTCGTGTAGTCTCGGTTTGGTGTTTGTTTGCTTACCAAGATCAGTCGAAATCGCAACCGTTTCCAGACCCCAGGAACGAAGTTGTTGAAACCGATAAACATATAACCAATCACAGATCAATCACGGATCTCTGTAGAGCAAATTGCTGTGGACTTTATTATGATACTGCATATGCAGTAACTGATACTGCCCACGGTGGCCAAGGATTTATTATCGTTTTCTTTTTTCTTCTTTATGCCAGATTTTTGCGTCGGCAAGCTACTTGTTGTCTGACCTATATTCACCTGACGATGTACACGCGCTGCCTGCCATAAACCCAACTGATCAACAACAGGCGGATGACAGCGAAGAACCGGCCCACGAGAAGAATTCCTCTCGTGTTTTTGCTGATGAAAATCAAGCAGATACTGCGATGGCTTCAAAGGTACCTGGTATTCAGATCTTTCGTCCTGTTGGTTTTACTGTGGTGTTTGAATTGAGCCAGCAACTTAGACATTTCTTTAAATTAGTTCTTGGGTTTGCCAGTTCAGTCAAAACGAAGCAAGGACTCGCTAAAACACACAAGCCAGTTTTTACTTGGACAGGAAACTAAGGTTTTACAGAAACACTACGCTCGACATAGTCCGCCTGTAACACGTACTGCACTAAACCCACAAAAATGGTTAACTTCTGTCGGTAATGACCACTTCCAAGTCTAATGTTCCTTCAGAGGTGTGGTGCAGAACTTTTTTATTTCCTTTATATCAAACTCATTTTGGGACGACAGTTTCTCGAAACGAGACGGAAATAGTCAACCAGGGATTGCTTTTGGTGGTTTACGTTATATTCAGTGTGATATACACCAAGTAAGTTCCTTTCAAATCTTGGCATCTGCTGTTTTCCTGTCTGCATTCCTCCCTCCTGGTCCATTTTATTATCCTTGTACAGTTGCAGATCAGACCCAGTAGTCTATGGTTCTTCTGAATTCAGAAATCTTACTTGCCACCACATGCAATTCCACCTCTATCTACTCAATACAAAAATATTTTGCTTTGCAAAGTTGATATCTTTCTAAACATGTTTTCCTTATAGTCGCTTGACGTAACAAAGTTATCAGCGCCTGTGACGCAGCAGGATGATTGGATTAAGGTTAGAAACTGTGATTTTGACAAGTATGGAGGATTCTAGCATTAAAGCAGACACCTCTGTGAAGCGGACGCAGACACCAGTATTGAGCCATTTTGTTGCACAAAACCTGCATTAAGCGGACGCTTCAAGGGCTTTTTACTCCTAAAAGCTCAGCTTAGACTCCTTTAACATTGTTCAGCGATGTCGTTTTAAAGCTAAGTAGATTATTTCAGATTGATGCATTGACTGACTGGATATTGTGCTATGAATAGTGTTTGATCTTACACTGTGTTACACTGTGTTTCAGAAGGGTTAATAATTAACTATTATTGCTGAACCTGTCTAGAGCGGACACCCTGCATTAAGCGGACACTTGTGAGGGTCCCAAGGGTGTCCGCTTAATACAGGTTTCACTGTAGCTGTTACTGTTTTTTTTTTTCCCTAAACAATTTGTCTTCTCCTCTGATTAGGTTTCCAAGCCATTACCAAGCAATGTGGAAGAGCGATGTAAGGTGGCTCTATCGCATATCGTTAAGGCAAGTTCTGGTTCAGATCTATTTGATCTAATGTGCTCTTATCTGCGTAAAACCAGCATAATGAAATATCGATCTCTTGAAGACAAGCGAGCATAATCGCATTCTCTGAGCCCAGACACCTATGAAAACAGTATCGTAATTTTGTAGCAGTTATATTTGTGCGCACATAATTTAATTACCCATAAGCTCTCAATCGGATGATCTTGTGGGTTGGCTGTAGCTGCATATTCAATCGCTTTTATCAAGTTCCTTTGCTTAGCACGTTACAAATCTTTTCTGTTCTTTCTTGAGGGGGTCTCACGTGTCACTTTTCTTTCTTTTTTTATGGCCAAAAAATGCCAGTTTTCGTAGTAAAGGAAAGTCATTAGGTCGGTGGTCGATGTTGGTGTTGTAAAGATCTGGTCATGTCCTTAGCTATCGCTGGTTTTGCAGTCTTTGTTTTTGTATTGTAATGTTGAAATCTATACTCCCGAAATTACGGTACGTGACCTACGAATGACCCACAGGTCCAGTATTTTAGCCCTTTTTACTTTAAACTGTCGTTGAGACAATCCATGTCATGTTCTTCTCTTCTTTCCTCATAACAGGGCCTTTCGTGTGTCAAGAAGCATTTAACAGAAGGTACCTCTCAAGGGGAAGTCCTAAACTTAAGCGCAAAGAGCAGCTCCTCCACAGAATGCCCCTCCTCGCCTCCCCAGTCCCCGGCTGCCAGAATCGATGGCGAAGCATCTAGCCACAGTCCACCGCAAGCAGTTGTTGCTACATTTGCAAAGCACCTTCATCCGTACAAGAGAAAGAAGTCACCGCTGGTCCTTGTACGGCCGGCCCGTTGGCAAGAGAAGACCGCTGGGTTACTGTTCTACAAAGCAGCGGCAGTGTATCACTCGTTAGCTTGCACATTCAATTCGAACGGAAAGTTTGGCCGCGGCTTAAAGAACTGTAAACTTGCATTCAAGTGCCTCGAGGCATCACAGATCTTTAGTGTGGAATCTGACGTTAAGAAAGGTAATAAGCTGGATTTATTGTACTCTGACCATGTTCTTTGCTTTCGACAAAAATACACAGAAAATGGA